TTTTTAAAATATGATGTACTGTCTGAATATCTAACACTATTTTGGTTCGCTATGCCTATGCTTCTAAATGAATATGAAATAGAGTTTGTGTTCAGAAAAATTCGAAACATTCGAAATTTGGGCAATTTTCACATTAGAGGTCCTCAAATTGTCATAAGCAGAACCGATGCGCAGAACGGACTTGACTTCCACTTTAATATAACAATATAATGGTTAATTAATATGGATAAGGATACCTAAATGGTGTAGTTTTTCTGGATCTTAAGAAAGCATTTGACTGTGTGGATCATAAAATCTTGGTTAAAAAATTATTACTTTATGGATGTACTGACCGTACACTGAAGTGGTTTGGGTCCTACTTAAATGATAGATTACAGATGAGTAAAATTAGCAGTGTCTATCAGCCAAAAAAAAGATTCAATGTGGCGTACCGCAGGGTTCCACTCTCGGGCCGTTACTTTTCCTAATCTATATAAATGATTTACCTAATTGTTTAACACATTCGTCTGCGAGCTTATTTGCAGGTGATACCAACATAACAGCTGAGGGAATTTCGATTGGCGAGATTGAAGATAAGCTCTGTATACTGACTTAGAGAATATGTACCGGTATGGTTGTTAGCAAATAAACTGACCTTAAATGTGGATAAAACTGAATATATGGTAATATGATCTAAGCAAAAAATATTAAATACCCAGCAAGAGACTACAATTAAACTGCAAGATAAAGAGTTGAAACAAGTAAATTGTACAAAAACCCTAGGTATAATTGTAGATGAAACCGTTTCATGGAAGGAGCAAATTTCAAATATTATTACTAAAGTTTCCCAAGGCGTTGGCTTATTGCGTAGAATAAAAAAGTTTGTTCCTCAACAGACTATGATTAATGTATACAATTCCATGATCCTCCCCTATTTTGACTATTGTAGCATGGTGTGGGAAAACTGTGGAAATTGTTTGCTTCAAAGACTGCAAAAAATGCAAAACAGAGCAGCAAGAGTAACTACCGGAAAGTCATATGAAGTAAGATCTAGTGAAATATTAAGAGAGCTTGATTGGCAAACATTAGAAAAGCGCCGGAAGGAAGTGTAATAAAGTCATATTTATGTATAAAATCAAACACACCAATGAACCTCCGCAATGCATGGCCAACCTTTTTAATATGAAAAATAACACTAGGTATCCAGGTGATCTCGTGTTCGTATTTTAGCCAATCAGCGCTCAGAAAGGGTTGTCCGAATAGAAATCCATTTTGATGTATTCAGTCAATTATATCTTTCGTTATTCTTTATGAAACTAGTTGAAATTTTGTAATTATGTTTGGTTATGAGAACTATAGCTCTGACAAAAATATGGAATCGAAATAAAGTATATTACAGGAGATATTCAGTTGTTTTAATCATAAAATGGATTTCTATTTGACAACTAGTGCCAGTACTTTTCCGCGTATCAAGATCACCTGGATACCTTCGTAGTGACAATATCGATTTCTCACTGGAAATGCCAAGAACTAATATGATGAAAAGAGGTATATAAGTTATTCAGCTGCAAGCTTATGGAATCGATTGCCTGGGTTTGCGAAGTTGAGTAATGTTCCACTATACTCGGATGACATATATTTAAAGCTATTCTCCGCGACAGTTTAACTTAACTTGATTATATGAATTGTAAATAGTTGATAAGTGTGTAATTTTAATAATTTGAGTATTTAGTATAGTTTTTTCCGGTTAAGTAGTATAAGTGTGTAAATAGGTGTGTAAACGGCCCTTTGAAAAGCAACTCCCTACGTGGGTTGAAGGGTTCTCGTTTTTAAAGATGATTAAATAATAATAATAATAATTACATTTATTCCGTGAAAAGAGACAGAGCAATTCCACATTTTATACGCGACAATTGACCCCGTTTCAGATTCAGATCTGAATCGAATATGAATCTGAAACTTGAATCTGAAACTGTAGAGCGGATCGTGTGGATTAATTTGATCATTTCGGCGTGGTTTTACATATAGCAATATAAAATAGTCAAGAAATATTACGACAGAAAGTTAAGCTCGCTACAAATAGTAGAAAAATCTCACGGAAATAAAACAGTGAATACAAGTGCAACATTTAATAAACTTTTACTAGTTCTGCAGGATCCAATTATATTGGCAGGCTCATTAGCCTGCGTATAGCCATTCAGTTGCGGCTGCGCAAGCATCAAGCGAAAAATCCCAGAGGACAAAAGAAGAGGCAAGTGGGTTCTGTCTAAATAAAACATTTGTATTATATAACATAATCGTGTTCCTATATTATATGGCAAGGCTGTCCATTTGTAAAATGCAGCATTTTGATTGGTTCCTGTGCGAGTGTGCGGTCGGTAACTTGCAGTACGGACCGCTCACTTATCTCTTAAGTATGGCTCGCGAAGAAGAACAAAAACAACTTTACCTAAAGATTGGGCTGCTGTGTTATTAATTAATTACTTAATGCTAAATACTTAAAGCCATAGATATTTTATATACACTAGATAGCGCATCTCTTTTAGTAAAATTGAAGCCAAGAATATTCCAGCGGTTACCCCCATTTGAATAGATGGCGGCCATGTTGGCATTCCCCACTCGCTAATAAACGCTTAAAAAAACAACAATAACTTTCATCATTTGAATAGTTTGAAAATGTATGTGTATATCCACACCGGGCAAGCTTGAAAAATATGCCTGGCCACGATTGGAATCGAACCTACGACCTTTGGAATACTAGCCCAATGCTCTGCCAAGTGCCAACTAAGCTACGCGATCAGGTCGGTTCGAGCACAGTTAATAGAATGGTTCGAGTATGCCAACTGAGCTACGCGGTCAGGTCGGTTCGAGTATGTGATAAATAATCTCTTACGTAAGACATTATTTGAGCTCTACAGGGTGAATAAAAAAGTAGACAATTTTGAAACGGCTCATTTTCGCAAATCCGTTGATTTCATGAAATGTTTGATAAATTGGGTATAATGTAGAATAAATAAAACATTTTCGTAAAGATAAATTTTCCAGAGGATTTATGCGTTGCCGTGCAAGCTAAAAAAGCTTTTTCAATAGAGATGTTATTTAAGGAATGTGTAAGAGTTTCAGATTGAAAACAATCTATGCAATAATATGTGCAAAAAGCACCATCAGGTTAGCTTGCTAGTAGTAGTACATTTCAGAGGCATATATGATGCATATATAAAGAGCGTTTATACTTATTTGTAAATCAGTTGGTCTGATTTAAATTAACGTCCTGTACGTTTTAGTCCATATCTTAGGCTTTCAAGATCCTTTCATTTATCAACATCAATACTGCCAATTAATTACTGGGAAGACAAACGGCCTTTGGTGCTTCAATTGATCTCGATTTCAATCTTTCTTTGACGATAGGGGGTCCAGGGTTTTTTATCATATCCACATCCAGTCCGGCCCTGACGCCGCGAAACGTGAATTTATATAACAAATGGAAAGGTTGCTGCACAGAATACTGATCTGGTTAATGTATTTCTCTTTTAGTCCAATGTCTTGACTTTTGATATGATACAAATTAATACTAAATATACAACTTACAATATATAATTTAAATACTTTCATTTAAGACTTTTCTCAAATTGAGCAGGACGTATTTTCATCTCAGCTTTTTTTATAGAACTCCAATTGTTTTTCCAACCAAACCAAGTGATTCCTGTCGGAGACATCTCGCTTTTCCCGAGGTACAGACCGTTGAGGTTGGAGTAGGTGCAGGCAAAGTGCCACCAGGCACCTTGGCGGCTCACAGCGCAGTTGCCGTGCCACATGTCGTTATCTCGGTCTTTGGTCGTAAACTTGTTTCCGTTTACAGCAGCCAATGAATCACCAGCATTACCTATCGAAAATACAAATAGCTCCAATACTGAATTTTGACTAGTACTATACAGTGCGGTGCCCTGGAGCATGTGTAAAACAAGTGCAATACAAGTACACAACCGCGAAGACATAGTATTTTTGAATAACTATCAAGGCAAGTTCGCAAGGCAAATTTTAGTAAGGTTGACGCATGCCGCAGACGTTTTTCCGCGGTGTTTCAAGTTTGAAAATGAAACATATTTGATATTTCGACGATTTCGTAGCTACAATTTCTACAATGATTTTATCTTTTCTGCATGTGCAATGTGATAAAAGGATCGAGTGTTTGGATGTTTTCAAAACTCCACGAGTAATTTTAGATATTTAATTCTGATCTGCCCATGCCGCCTGACATATTTAGGAGGCATTATTGGACATTGACAGTATTTCCACATCACACCAGCTAGGTTTTTTACTTGCATGACCACATTTGTAGTTTCTATGATAAAAAGCACACAAGTCTACCCAATCCATGCACGCAGCTAACGTCCTGATATACGGCATTCGCTCGAAACTTTGAAGTGTTTTTAATCAAGGTAGCAGCTTAGTTAAATTACTAACTCACTTACTGATGTTTGTGTCATGTTACTCTGAGTGTATATCCACACCGGGCAGGCTTGAAAAATATGCCTGGCCACGGCGGGATTCGAACCTACGACCTTTGGAATACTAGCCCAATGCTCTTCCAACTGAGCTACGCGGTCAGGACGGTTCGAGTAAGCGATATTTCGGAACTGAGTCTTATTCACCTGAGTCTTATTCTTATTCACCTGAGTACATTACACCAACACAGCAGATTTCATAAATATTAGATTACACTGATATCGAAGGAACTAGACTCAGTTCCGAAATATCGCTTACTCGAACCGTCCTGACCGCGTAGCTCAGTTGGAAGAGCATTGGAGCTAGTATTCCAAGGTCGTAGGTTCGAATCCCGCCGTGGCCAGGCATATTTTTTAAGCCTGCCCGGTGTGGATATACGCTCAGAGTAACATCACACAAACATCTTATTCACCTGAGTACATTACACCAACACAGCAGATTTCATAAATATTAGATTACACTGATATCGAAGGAACTAGACTCAGTTCCGAAATATCGCTTACTCGAACCGTCCTGACCGCGTAGCTCAGTTGGAAGAGCATTGGAGCTAGTATTCCAAGGTCGTAGGTTCGAATCCCGCCGTGGCCAGGCATATTTTTCAAGCCTGCCCGGTGTGGATACACACTCAGAGTAACATCACA